TTCCTGCTGTGCAATTGCCTTCTTCTCTGGCAGGGAAGAAGCCCCTACTGACCCCAGATCAGGCTTTAACACTGGTTGGATGACTGGTGTGAGGCTCTACTGAGCTTTATTTCAGCGCCTACCTAATGGGAAAATCATAAAAGCTGGCATTTCTTGACTGCTTCTTATATTCCAAGCATGGTGCTCATAAGCATTTGACGTGTGTTATCAAATTGAATCCTCAGCAAAACCCCATGAGATAGGGACAATAATCTGCCCCATTTTACAGATGAGGAAACCAAGGCTCAGAGAGGTTCAGTGACTTGTCCAAGGTTGCACAGCTAGGAAGTGGAGCATGGAGATTTGGCTCCAGGCAGGCCAGCTCCAGAGCCAGGCAGCTTCGAGCCTCTCTTCTAGACTCTGGGAAGGAGATCAGGAAGGAACCACAGAAAGCACGAGGCTCACAACAGCAGATCAGATTCTGGAAGGCGGTGTGGATTCACCGGAGCTCAGGGTTGGCGGGAACCTGGCTTTGTGGATGAAATTGTCTCCTGAGTACATAAATGGATGATCTGGAATTTCAAGTTAAGAGCCCTCAGGGCAACTTCTGCTCTGCCATTTCCCAGCTGTGTGATTTGAGGCCCCCTACTCACTCGTGCTCTACTCCGATTGCCTTTTCTATAAATTGGCGCTACTGATGAGCACTTTGTCGGAAGGTTATGAGAATAAAGGGGCTTACTGTGTGGGAAAGTGTTTTGCCAACTTTACGCTCCGTCCCAAGCCCCAGCAGTAATTGCGGTGGTCTGCTTTATTATTTAAAGGAATTCTTAAGTAATTTTTTCGGTAAGTAATTCCTTTGGTGAAGCCAAGAATCCACTCACAGAAAGAGGTGATATGATTTGCTTTGTGTAAATCGTGCACTGAATTTGCTTGCAGTGGCAGATTTGAAATGAGACAAACATCTCTATGGAGCCAGTCCCAGGACACAGATGCCCTCCCCTCGCCTTCCCTTCACCCTCAACAACCCCACCACCACCAAACACACGCCCCTCCCTAACAAACCATATTTAGGGAGGCTACAAAGCTTATCCTTCCTGAGTCCTTCCATGACCCCTAACCCCTCTCACTCCCATTGGCCCTTCCTGGAAAGACCTTTTTACAGAAGGGCCAGGCAGCAGTAGAAGTGGTTAGAACCTGGGCCCTGGTCACAGCACAGCTTCCGAATTCCACCAAACCCTCCATGTGTGTGAGCTTCTGCAGATCCCCAAGCCTCTGTTTCCTCATCTGGAAAATGGGCACAATACTAACATTTACGTCCTGGGGTTCCTGTGAGGGCTGATCTTGATGGGGCAGTACCTCCAGTCCCTAATGGAAAAGGCACTGCCCCACATGATGCAGACTGAGGGCCCCCCCGCCAAAGGACTGATGGAGGAGGACTTGCTCGATGCCTGCCCTGCAGACCCCGGTCCCCCATCCCTGCAGACCCTTGTCCCCCATCCCCAGCCTTCCATTGGTGCCTCCACCTCATGGGTCTCTCACATTCTCTTCCCACAGGAAGCGAGTACTCTGGCAACACCTATGGCCACACCCCCTACTCCTCCTACAGCGAGGCCTGGCGCTTCCCCAACTCCAGCTTGCTGAGTAAGTTGCCTCTGGGAGGTAGAGAGACTTCCGTGCATCACTCTCTCTCTTCTCCATCCCGAGGCCACGTCTATTAGATCTTTTGTTTTGTGTAAGATTCAGGGCTCAGGCTTTGGGAGGGCAGTGGTGAGTGGACTCCAGAAAAGTCTTGGAGGGGGACTGCCTGCCTTCAGGGACTTGGAGTCCCACAGCTGCAACGCTGTCGCAGGGGCGCCCTGCGGGAGTGCCAGCTGCCCCTCTGCTGGGGAGCACCCTGATTGCAAACAGTGCCATCCTGCTGCCCGCATTAACCATCTAAGCGACTCAAAACTACTCACGATTCAGCACCTGAGCCCTTACACAGAAATCCTCTGTTCCACCACATTCCTGTTGTTTGGCTGGAGATATGGACAGCCTTCAGGAGGAACAGAGAGTGAGCCGTGGGGCTGCTCATCCGCCCCTGTCTCCCCCTGGGCCTGGGCTGGGTAGAGAAGCTTTTCAGGAAACCAGGCCCCTTAATGGGGAACGTGAGGGATCCCACTGGGGTCTCCGTGAGGGATGGCCTTAAGGGTCTCAGAGCAAACCTGAACCGGACAGAAGCCGCAGTGCAGTACGGCCAACCGCAAGGGCGCCGTCACAGGCCTGGCAGGACCGTCCATTCCCAAGACGCCCCCTCTCCTCTTGTTACCTCCTGATGTTCCAGAAATGCCTAGGAGGCTGGCTGAGCTGGGTTCAGTTTTCCAGATAAGTTCGAGCCACCCTTCTGTTCAGTGTAGCCGGAAAGGCTGACGGCATTGAGACATGCCCTTCCCATGGAACTTTCCCGGGCTGCCCATCCTGCAGGTGTGCAGAGCTGCCCAGTGCAGGCCCTCAAATGTGCATCCCCCTTGACCAGTCAGGATCCAATCCCCCTGCTTCCCAAGAAGATGATCCTCTGACCTCGCACCTTTTGGGCAAGGCTGGGGAAAGCCCCAGTGATCTCCCCGCGAGAACTTGGTTCTTCAGGGTTGCAAATGTAACTGCTCTCTCTTGCCCTCTCCCTGATACAAGGGTGTTGAAGGTCAAAGGAGTCATGGCGGGAGGGGCAAGAAGCCACTGTTCTCCTTCTGGCCAGAAACTCAAAGGTGAGGCCAGAGCAGGAGGAAATAGGGCCAGAGAGGAGTTAATCTTTGATGATCAGATAGGCCCGAGGGATCAATGATTAACTTGTGCTGTCTTAAAGGTTGGCAGAGGCAGGGAGAGGCTGTGGTGCAGTTTCCCCTTCTGACCAGCAGTGTTGTTCTTTTTTTCGAACGTGTCCAGGTTCCCCGTATTATTACAGTTCCACATCAAGGCCAAGCGCGCCACCTACCACTGCCGCGGCCTTTGACCATCTGTAGTTGCCATGGGGACAGTGGGAGCGACTGAGCAACAGAAGGACTTGGCCTGGGACGGGCCCCAGAGAGTCACACAAAGGAATCTTTATTTATTACATGAAAAATAACCACAAATCCAGCATCACGGCTCCCTCCCTGTGTGGTTGATTTAATGAACCATGAGAGACCGGACGACGTTGGAGAAGGGCCACGCTGTCCTCCAGGATTCCTTAATGAGGGGCAGGAGTCCCAGGGGGACAGAACCGTCCCGTTCCAAAGAGACAAAATTGGGAGAGAGGAGGGGACAGCCAGAGGCTTGAGAGGGATGGCACATGGGGCCCACGACGGGGTCAGGGGCACACGGAGGCACCTCTGTGGCTCCATCACCGACACGCTCTAGCAGCCGCGGGCTGTAAGCTCTTCCGTCCAGCCCACGAGCCACAGCGGGTGCGAAGGCTCTCCCGCACCGTCGCCCGGAGAGGCACCACCTTCTCTCCGCAGCTTGCTTGGCACTTTCCACTCCTCTCCCTCTTGGTCCACAGGCTGAACACTGGGTCCAGCCAACCAGGAGCTCCGCCCGGTGGTCAAGGTGGTCATCCGCCTGCCTTTTACCTGCTGCGGTGAATGTAGGAGCTCCATCCCAGATGCTCCCCGCCACGGAACCACCTCTTGGCAGCCAGACCTCAGCCTGGCTGAGCCTATTGCAGCTTGAGACAGACATTCCGAAGCCCCAGGGCTCCTGGGGGTGGGGTGCAGCCCTGCCCAGGGCGGAGCCAGGCACAACGGCTGGGGACCCGCCTCCCCTCCCAACAGCCCTGCCAAGCCCACAGCTACCCGAGAGACCCCAAGACAAACCCCCAAAGCCAGCCATGGCGGTTTCCTCTCTGGCTCCCACCGTTCCTGCCCTCCCCTCCCCAGGCCTGACTGTAAATACTGTAAATGAGGCTCTGCTTGAGTCAAGCTGCCCTTTTCCTCTCAGTGAACTGTCTCCCTGCCGTGTCGGGCTTCTCCCCTTGACGCTGCTTTCTCTTTTTTTAAAGACAACCCACCACTGCCACAAGACTCAATAAACCATTACTCTTGGTCTCCAGCTTTGGGGTTGGCTGGGGAAGGAGGCACCCCAGGACTGGGTTTTCTCCAGAGAACCTCAGAGCCCCGTGGCCAGCGAACTCACTTTGGGGCCGGGCATTGAGAGGACCACGAATGCCCAAGGGAGAGAGCCCCTGACTTAGCATTCGCCCTCTGCCCCAAAGACATGTTCAGCACCGGGCAAATCACGTATCCCAAGCTTTGATTGTGCCAACTCTGAGTAAATGCGAGCATAAAATAAGCACGTGGCCCAGTGCCTGGCCAATCACAGACTCCCCACAGGTAGTTGCTGTTGTTATTAACAGGAAGCCAGAGAATCAGCCAGGAAGGTTGGTGGCAGATCCGGGAACAGCTCTACACTGGAGCCCACATAAACAGCTCTTAGGATCCCTGAGGTGTGAGAGGAGGGAAGGGAGAAGACAGTTACTGGGCTCTGCTGGATGGGGGCCTCACATAAATTAAGCTGCCATTTGTCCTATTTTACATATGGAGAGACTGAGGCTCAGCAAAAAATGAAATAACTTTTGCCCAAGGCAGGAATTAGTAGATTCAATCAAATCCTCTTACCTTAAGTCCAGCACTTTCACCCAACAGCACAGGGCTCTCATCGGGGATGCCAGGGGGTTCTAGACCCGAGGGAGGTTCTGAGACGGCCACCGAGAGTTTAATTTTTTTTGGTTTGGTTCCTAAGTATTTGGCAAGACTGTGCAATCAAGAAGCTGAGGCCAGGAAGGGGTGAGGGAGCTACTATAAGGACTTAGGACAACCCCCTTCTGTGAAATTTTAGAGGACAAGTCACAATGGTGACTGCCAGGTCTCTGCCCCCAAGAAGGTGCCTGGCCCACCAGCGGCTGCCTGGTGTCTGCGTGGACCCTCTCCGTGAGGGGCCCAGCTGGAGCCGGAGGCAGGATGCCCAGATTAATGCCGACAGCTAGGCAGATAACAGCTGAGGTTGAGTCAGGTGGAGGAGGGGCTTCCTCATCCCCCACTAGCACCCCAACCAGGGGCCCCCAGGCTGGGAGGGCACCGGCTGAGAGACAGGCCTCTGACCTCCCTGGTCCTCCCAAAGGAGAGGCGAGGAATGCTTGCTGCGGATGGCATAGACAGAGTGGGACCCCCCCACAAAGAAGACCAGTCCCCATGACTTCTGAGCGGATCTGAGATGAGGCTCAGTTTTCAATAACAGGATTTTCCTCCAGCCACGAGCAATGGCATCAGGACTGCATCCCGTTATATCTGGGTTCCTGAGAGCCCTAAGACAGTCCCCACCCAGGAATCACCTTGAGGTGGATGGTGCCCCACCAGAGCCTGCAGAGCGATCCTTCCTATTCACAGCCAAACCCTTTCTGGGGACCCTGGTGCCCTGGCAGCCTCTCCAAGCCCTGAATGACAAAGGGACCTGGGCTGCGCTTTTGTTGGCTGACCGTGGTTCAGCTCTCCCCTTCCTTCTCGGAGGTGAGCTGAGCCCCCCGGGACACTCTGCTCAGAGCAGGTGTCTGTGAGTGTGCGGCATGGCCCAGGTGCAGCAGGTCCTGGTCGGTAGCGCTCCAGAGACTCCGTCCACAGTCAAACCACAGGTCCCACTTCGGGGCTTGGAAAATACAGCCGTCTGTGTGCCTGAGGGGAGAGCTGATCTCAGGTGCCCTGACATCAGGGGTGGTGTTGGGACGAGTTGGCGAGGTTCATGATGGGGTCGTGGTGAAGAAAGAGTATGAGGGGAAGGGCGGGGAGGACAGGTGTTGGGAGGCACAGATGAACAGGAAGGGGCTTTCCTGCTGGGGAGTGTGGGAAGTGTCCGTGGGTAGCTGCGTGGGAAGTGGCAGAGAGATAGTTTACTCTGTAGCAGGGTCGAGGTCCTGGTTTTTCTGAAGGCATATGGGAGTAGTGCATGTGTCAGCGGGAGAACTGGGGACGAAGCCTGGGCCCGAGGCGTTCCCAGGGCAGCGAGGGCCCTGCCTCACCCCCCCCCCCC